TGAGGAAGGTAACCAAGACGAAAGGAAATACATACGACAACCAAATATGTGTAATAGGATGATTATGTCATTAACCTAACTAACTCTGGGGCAACAAAGCATTGCTAGTGCTCTGTGTTGTCATTAGATGGGTTGTGGGCTTGTTGGGCCCAAGCCCATTTATGTCAGTGGCTATGTTGGACCTAATGGGTCACACACTAACACCTTATTGTCATGATAATATAGCATTAAAGGTATTGGGTCTAATAATGGTTGTTAGCCCAAGAAGAAGTTTGGAAGCCCACCAAAAGGGAAAAGGGCACATGGATCATGTAATGGGCTTGGATGGTCCAAGACATTACTAATTAATTTAATTAGTTAAATTAATTATCAAATATTTAAATTTGAATTTTGAATTTGAAATTTGAATTTGGAATTTGGAATTTGAAATTCGAATTTTGAATTTTGAAATTTGAATTTTGAAATTTGAAATTTGAAATTTAAATTTAAATTTAGAATTTAAATGTTTGAACGTTTGAATTTGAATGTTTGAATTTGAATTTGAATTTGAATTAGCTATGAAAAGTTGTTTCATAACAAAAGGATAAGGTAAGATCTTGTTGGAACAAATCCCAAGTATCAAGAGGAGATCTTTGAGCATCATCCAAGGCTGATTTGGGGCGCTAATTTTGGGGTCTTGTGATGGTCATAAGATCAGCCAAATGAGCTCCAATCAGATTTAGTTTGTTGAGAGAATAAGTGAGTGAGTTGGTTCAAGTTTGAATGCAACTGCTCAACGTATCTGAACTGTTTTGAGGCTGAATGGGGCGCACCATATGGCTGGCCATATGATGGTTGTTAAGTCAGATTTTTGTTGAGATATGCACTTGATATCATGAGGATATGATAGGAGGTTGTTGGTAAGATTTGATTTGCAATAACTCCACTCATTCCTCTCCTAGTGTGCGCTACATATGACTGATTTTTGAGTGAAGAAATTAGATTTTTATTCACTCATTCTCTCATCTCCTTTGGTCATCCTTTGTGAGGTTTTTCTTAAGAGAGTTTTGACAATTACCTAGCACTTTCTAAGTGAATTCCATGCGCCACTTTTGTGTTTTTTCTTGCTGAAAATTCACTCAACTAAACACCTTGAAACCTTGCCTCCTACCTCTCCATTAGGGACGCCTAGCTTGCCTCCCTTGGTGTTCGTTGGTGGCCTTGAAGAAGATTTCTTCCGTCTTGACAAAGGGTGGTGTGGATCAACATTAGAGGGCTTGTATCTTCAAGCCTTACCTTGATCATCTTCAAGTTTTGGAAAGTAAACAAGGTAACATCAATGTCCTAAAGCATGTTTCTTGATATGGTATGTGTAATTTCGCTTTGAAAATTTTGTTTTCATCCTCACATGCCTACGGCCTTCAAGGCCATTTTCTTTCACTCCAATGGTGGAGTATGTTTAGGAGGAGCTTTGTACCAAGCTCTTGAGTAAGTTTTTACATCATTTCCATGGTTTAATTGTTGGATTGATTTTATGAACCCTAAAGGGGGATTTTGTGATTGATGTGTTTAGAGAGCTCAATTGGAAAATGTGTATTAGATGATAATGTCTTAGTATGATGTGTTAGAGCTAGAAATGCCATGAAAATTATTGATGAAAAATGTGAAATTTTAACTTAGAAATTTTTAGGGTGTCATGACTTTGAGTTCTGAAAATGTGTTAGGATTGGATTGGTGAGTTGTTGTATGATTGTATGTTGATATAATGGGATTGTATGAGGTGTAGAGTGGTTAAAATTGAATGAAAATTCTTTGGAATTGCCTAGGTGACAATTCGGCCATGTAGGAAATTTTAGGGATTTGATGTTGTTGGAATAGCTTGGATGAAGTATCATGTGTTAAATGGTATTTAGAGGGGTTGTGTGGTGGTTGGAAGGTTTGAGAATCAATGAAAAATAATAAATGGGTTGAGAGTCATAAAGGATCCTAGAGTGAAATATTAAGCAAAACAACGTTTAAAAGACGTAAAATGAAAAACGGCACTTGATATGGCCTTTTAGCAACCTAAGGATGCTTAGGAAAATGAGAAAGAAAATTTAGAAAAATAAATCTCAAAATTGCACTACTTTGGCCGAACCTACAAGGGTGTAGGGGAGATTTTTGACGTTTTTCGCATTTTGATAAAATTGCCGTGTACTAACAATTCGTACATGGTTATTGTAGGTTGCCGTACGTCGATTTGAACCCCGAACCATGAGTCGGTGGATTGCCCTTGGTCCTGGACCAAGTGGAATTGAGGTAAGTGTTTGGAACAATGCTTGTGTAATTGTTAACTGGCATGTGTTCGTATGAGTTTTGAGTAATTGGAAATGTCCTCTGTGTAGGCATTCTGTTGAGTAACGAGCTCGGAGAGTATACTGCTGTGGAGCTAAGTGGAGGAACTTATAAAGGTAACCTCTTGGTACTGGGGTTTGTTCCCCTTGTGTGTTCCACCATACCCGTTGAGGGTGATGGTAGGAAATGTATATGAGTAGTGTAGAATAACATGATCATGCATGTAGTATGTATGTTGGTACGTAGGTACTGAGTCTCTGGCCAGTAGACAGTTTTGCCTTCGGGCGTTTCAGACTTCCACTGGATAGGTCTCCGAGAGGGAGTTCCAGTTGACCTAGGGTCATGGTGTGTGATCCAGATATGAGCACACTAGGAAGTCTCGGGTGTATGCGGATGGGAGGGGTACCTTGGTTGGATGTTCTTGGAACACGCCTTGGATGAGACCCGTAGGCTTATATGCCGAGCCATTAGGTAGGACGTTCCGTGGTATTGGTAGCTACCATTCCAGCTTCGTCGTATTTTGTATCCCTATATTCCCCAGTTTCTCTAAATCCCTTGCTTTATCCCGTTTTTCAAGATGTTATTGTATATTATTTATATACATCGAAGTGGGCCATTGGCCGGAGTTTTCTCCAGAACCTCTGGATTACTGAGATATATTCGTATATCTCATCCTGTCTTGGGGGTTTTATTTCAGGAGGTAGCAGTGACACATGAGTGGCAGGCAAGAAGCCCGTAGCATAAGTCGTTGGAGGACTCTTTATATTTTGCATGTTGATGGCCATTGGGCCTAGGTTAGACTTATGAATGAATATTGTATATGTGGTTAGGATGAGTTTCATGTCATATTTGTTCATGCTATTTTTGTCTAAGTCTAAGTACATGTTGTATATATCATTTTAAGCTTTATGTTTCAAGTTGTAATTTAAAGTTATGAATTTGTAAGTTGTAATATGTAATTGAGATATTGTAATTGCACAATGAATACTTGATGTAATATGATGGAAGGGCTTTAGGCCTATTTTAGGATTATGATTATGTGTATGTTTAGAAAATGCAGGTAAATGGACATTGGTGATTGAAATAAGTCAAGGGTTAATAAAGTGAGCAATATGGTATGAATTGTGTAATAGCTATAAACTGAGTTGGGTTGTAAGTGCCCAAGGCATTATTGGTCCTTGTGTGTGCCACCCATTGGTTATTAGGTACATTAGAGTTATTAGAAAGCATTTGCAAACTTGGAGATTTTTGTAAAAACAAAGGAAACTCTGGCGAAATTTCTAGAAATTGGCATAATCTAGGCGAACTTCGGGAGAGCATATCTCCCTCCACAGAGGTTCGATAGGGACGTTCCATATGCCATTTTGAAGCTTTAGATGTCCTCTATCTTGTGGTAAGATTTGATAGAATTCTAGGTTGAACGTCGGCCTGGAGAAGGGCAGAGAGTGAAGACTGCCCAATTGCTCACTGCACATGTCGCAGTTCTGGACCGGTTTTGAGAAATTTATTTCTGCTTCGTATCTTAGTCAAATTAAGTGTATGATATGTCAAATTGAAGATTGAGGTGTCTAGTTTGTTGTATAAAAATTTGAGAGCAATTGGTTGAGTGGATTGTCTGCAGTAATTCATGGAGTGAGGGATGTTTGGAGCTGTTTTGGGGTTGGCTGACAACTTTGCTTGTCCAACTTCAAACGGCGATATCCGGAGCAAACGAGATCGAAATAACCCGTGTGATAGCTTCCTAGAAAGGTCATTGAGTGTAGAATAACATATCAAAAGATGGGAGGCTTATAGAATGCGATTTGTCCGCAGAAAAATAAAGACCGAAAAATGTTCGGATAGGTAGAAAACGTAAAATTGAGAAATTAGCTAAGTGGGTTTATGGGAACCCCTTAGTGACTTGTAGTAACTAAAATAAGTTATAAAAGTAGTCTAAATAAGTATTCCACAAAGAGTTTACAATTACGGTCACAACTTTTATTTATTACGCTTTTACGGTTTTAAATGCTCGCATAATAAATGGAAAAAGTTTACTCGCTATTTTTATAAATGAATTGATGTGATTGTAACTGCGCTTAATATCATAATTAATGTTAACAATATCAGTGTACAATGGGCTATTACATTCACCACCTGAAAAATAAAATAAAAAGAAAAGAAAGAAGTGACACATTTATCATAGAGTGTGTAAGAGAAAAAATTTATCTCATGTAGCATCAGAATAGTTTTTCCCTATATTTTAAGAGGAAGGTTATACTTACAACCTTTTTTTTACAACCTATTACAACCATATCTTAACACCGTTGATTTCCGTCAATCAACGATTATTATTTTCACAAATTAAACTCATTAATTAAATATTAATTTAAAATAAATGATAATCATTGATTGACAAAAATTAATGGTATTAAGATATAATTGTAAAATATTGTAAAAAAAAAAATTTGTAAGTATAATTTTTTTTTATTTTAATATATTATCTACAAAAAGAGATATGCACGGAAGGACGCGTTTGTGCTTGTTGCGGAAGTTATGCCTGGGCTTTGGACTTTGGATTTGGTGGCTATTGAGAAAGTTGGGCCTAGCCTTCATTCTTTAATTTTGTTCTAACAGTAGATGGGCTTTCGGCCCACAAAGAGATTAGGGTTTTGACTCCCTTAAAAGCGCTAAACAATCAGAAGATCTAACCCTAGTGCGGAAGCATAGAACAGAACTAAGCAGGGGAAGGGAAACGGTACCGCCGTAGAGAACAACAGCCATGGTGCACGTGGTGTTTTACCGCAACTGTGAGTCTCTCTGTGATTAATTCTCTCCCTCATATGATGTTTTGTTTTCTTTTGAATCGTACCATTGATTGATCTATTTTTTTTTATTTCGATTAATGAATAGATGGGAAGACATTCAAGAAACCCCGTCGACCGTACGAGAAGGAGCGGTTAGACGCTGAATTAAAGCTCGTCGGAGAGTACGGATTACGGTGCAAGAGGGAGTTGTGGAGGGTTCAGTACGTCCTCAGCCGCATCCGTAACAACGCGAGGAATCTTCTCACCCTTGACGAGAAAAACCCTCGTAGGATCTTCGAAGGTGAGGCACTTTTGCGCAGAATGTTCCGTTACGGTCTCCTCGACGAAACCCAGAACAAGCTCGATTATGTCTTGGCTCTCACCGTCGAGAATTTCTTGGAGCGTCGTCTCCAAACCCTAGTTTTCAAATCTGGAATGGCCAAGTCTATTCACCATGCTAGGGTCCTCATCAGACAGAGGCATATCAGGTTTTCCTTTACTTTCCCTCTTTTTCATACTCATCTATGTTGTTCATTTTAGGATAAATAATAACATGTTTTGGAAATTGATTTTTTTTTGGGGTGTGATTTGGGGTTTGTAGGGTTGGGAGGCAAGTGGTGAACATTCCATCATTCATGGTGAGGGTTGACTCACAGAAGCATATTGACTTTTCACTTACTAGTCCACTTGGTGGAGGACGACCTGGAAGGGTGAAGAGAAAGAACCAGAAAGCTGCTGCTAAGAAAGCTGCTGGTGGTGATGGAGATGAAGAGGATGAGGATTAAACTCTCAGTAACTCTTTTCTCTAGTGCTTCTAGATCCTGTACCAGTTTTTGTTGTGTGTTCCGAGTTTATCATTATTGATGGTTATACTTTTTTATTTATTTATATTCTCGGTTCTTGTTTGATAAATTACTTTGCCTGAAATATTATGTTGTTTTGAATTTTAGTTATTTTGAGAGTATCAAGTTTTTTCAACAATAACTGTGGTGGTCATTGATTAGTTTATTAGGGTCTACTTCTATTAAGTTTTTTAGTTTTAGAGCTTCGTTTTCTCCTTGTTAATAAAGCATCGTATATGTTTGTTTGACTCTAGTTTTCTACCTCTCCAATGTTCATATTATTTCCGAAAATATGGATGAGGATTAACAAATGCTCATTCACCGTGCTAACAAAATAGCATTGAGTTAGTAGGTCGAGTGGGGAGTTTTTTAAGCTTGCGATTATGCTGGTAGCTTGTCCTGTGAATTGAGCTTTCTTATTTTCCTCAAACTTGTATTCATAAATTGAAGGAAGAAAAGGCCATTCATTGAAACTCCTCAAGATATAGACCGTGCAACTCTTCAGTGTCGTAGATAATTAGTATGTCGTTAGGTCTGTTGAATTGAGTATTCTAGGAAGATCTTTTTAACTTTTGGTAGATTTTATATTTTGTTTTAGTAGCGTAATCATGATACTGAGGTACATGAAAAATATTGAGGCGATTAAGTGTTGCCTAAAATTGATTCGTTTTTTGAATTATTTTACTAGCTATTTCTTTTCCTATTTTTTTGGTAAATTTTACGAGCAATTTTTATAATAAGGGTGATCCTCAATTGGAATATCGGTCCTGCTAGTGTTTTGAGCCTATGGCGGCCTTTTATCTGAATTTTTATTTGCTTCACTTTAGTTTAGTATTAAAATTCAGTGAAACTACATTAATATATATAGTTTTGAATCGGAACAACTTTGGTACCTAACCTTTTGTTCATATATATATATATATATATATATATATATGTGAGGGTCTCTTTTTCCAGCATTGTCTTTGCAAATCCCGAAACTTGTTTAGCAAGTCTTCGCCTTTTTCACCCCAGTACCTAACCTTTTGTTCAAATATATATATATATATATATATATATATATATATATATATATATATGAGGGTCTCTTTCTCCAGCATTGTCTTTGCAAATCCCGAAACTTGTTTAGCAAGTCTTCGCCTTTTTCACCCCAGTAAGCTGACACGTGAATTTCCATTTTCCAAAAATTGTTTCCTCAACCCTCCGCCCTCCGTCTGTATCAACAACCCTGCATACCTTTGTGTTTTGCTTCAAATCCCTCTCTCAACCGTACTCTTGAGACTCTCTTTCCCTCCTCTCTTTTATAATTTAAGCTTACTGACAAGCTTAAAACTTTGTCCTGGATTCCCGACTTAAAAGGTTATACCTTTCTGCGTCCTTTGACCACGGTTACCATAACCTTAAGCCAAAGATGACAAAACAAAGTCTAACTGTTGCTTTTACCAGAGTCTACACTATGATGCCACTCAAGAAAGCCGAACAAATCACTCTATATCCGAAAAGATACATCGATTTGGAGGATTAAGAGGACACTCTGTCACAATAGGTGCAAGACACTCTTGCATTTCGTAAACGGGAGAGCTTTGCCACCTTCAAAACGGAAGGTCATGCTGACCATTCAGCAGAGTTCCTGTATCAAGCAAAACTAACAAATGAAGAATTCGTCCTTGTGCAGGAGAAGAAAATTTTCTTTTCCAGAGGTTTTATTAAGAATACTCTCTCTCTGCCGAATATCAAGAAATGTTTTTCTCAACAACTGGTGGGTTATAGAGGAGAGGAAAAGCTTGAGAAGGAAGTATTGAAAGTTATCGCTCTCCCCAACACCTATTTTACCAAAGGCATCTTGTTGAAAGGACAACTACCTGAGGCCAAATTTTGGGCCCTTTTCGGTCAACTCAAGGATCGACCCAAATGTTCATGAAGCTTCTGTTTCTTGGAACAAGACCTTGCAAATCTTTTGCATTATGTAGAAGAAACCTTTTGATATTCTTCCCCTTATCCACCATGGCTTCAAAAATCAACTTGCAAAGGGTTATTTTTGTTTTCCCTACCTAGTCACAAAATTTTGCAGGGATGTTGGTCTGGAACCTCCCCCGGAAATAACAAGAAGTTTGTTGGTACACCCCTTAATATCACTACTTGGCGCTCCCCCTCAAGAGGCAGAATTATGCCATAGCAACCCACTGTGGCAACAGAAGGGGCACCAAGTAATGTAAAGAAAAGCGCAAAGAAGATGTCCCCTTTCATTATAGCCAGCCATCAAAAAGGAAAAGATAGCTGAAAAGGTTGTGTCTGCACCATCCAAGTCAAAAGAGAAGGAGAAGGAGAAGAAATCTTCTGATGAAACCTCCTTACTATCTCCCCAATCTAAGAAAGTGGTCACTGGAGCCAAAAAGATGAAGGTGTTTGCGGCACCCACCCCAAAGCCAACACCTGTCAAAGGAGATATATCTTCTCAGAGGATCAAGAGAAAACTCAATAGTCAGCTACCGACAGGAGCTGAAGGAACGACTTCAGAAGAGGATGAGGGAGAAGAACTTGTTGTAGGACGGTCAAAAAGAGCAATTAACACAATCGAGGAATGACAAGAAGAGCATCAATAGGAACTTCCTCAGCGTTCAACCTCACCGGTGACAGATTTAGCTGTTGAATTATGGGATCAACCAGATTGTCCGTTGAAGGAGAAAGAAACACCAGAAGAAAGAAGCTAAATCGGTTACATCTAACTCTCTAATTCAGAACGCCAACTCATGTCTTTACACCAGCTTCTGAACTTAAACACCAGATTCAGACGAGAGTACTTCAAACCATCAACTTCGGAACACCAACTCATGTCTTTACACCTCTAGAGTTTGAAGATGAGATTCATTCAGCTTCTCTCTCTCCAATTCAGAATGTTCCCTTAAACCATGAAGAATTATCCATTTCTCCATCCGCTTCTGAATGTTCCCATTCTACCACCATCCTTAATGCAATCACAAGCAACACCTGTTGACAAGCTGCAAACCGCCAAAACAACTCCACTGCAAGCATTACTGCTATAAGCTAAAGAAAGATCGGAACAATGCTGGGAAGCAGGTTAGAGAAAATTGTTCCCCAAGGAACTAATGTCCCCCGGAGGGGCGTTGGTACAGGAGAAAAAAAAATTTGTTCAAAATATGATGGGAAGAATTTTTTGTCAGGTAAGTTAAAAAAGATGTTTGGTAAGTCAAAATTTTTCTTAAAAAATTGGATAAATTTTACTGATGTTGTGTTTGGATGGTTGTAAAATATTGATGGGAAAGTAAACGTAAATTACCAAAATGCCCACCATTTGGAGTATTGAATTCCCAATCTGCAAAGAAATTTTTCACATTTCTAATGAACTGAAAAATAAAATAAAAAATTAATAATGAACAAAATCATTTTATCAGATTTGTAATAAACGGGTAGAAAAAAAACAAGTAAATACAAATTAGTATGTTTCTGATTGCACAAATAAAAAAATGCGCAGGGTATGTTTCCGATTGCACAAATTCACAGAGTATCATTTTATAAAGACACATGTGCAGGGTAATTTTGTCAACCATAAGATGTTATGGCTTCATCGCCGCTTAGCAAAAATTTTTGTCCACCCATTCAATGGCAAAATTCACATGATGGTGGTTTATGTGTAAAACAATTAGATGGGAAAGAATTTTTTCCACACCCTTTTCAACTCTTCCTCTTACCAAACATGGTCATATAATTTTCTCTACCTTTTCCTGGGCAATTTTTTTTTGCCCTCCTATCAAACAGCCCCCCAGGATAAAATGTATCAAATAATGACTGATATTAATGCCTTGAAAGAAACTGTTAACAAATTGTCTACTTCCTTTATCCAGTTTCAGGAATAGCAGGAGAAGAAGAATGAAGAACTACGTCAATCTATCAAAAAGGCCATTAAAAAATTAGCAAAATAAAATTCTGCGCGAATCATCAGAGGAGAGGATGAAAAGAGAGGACAAGAAAGAGGGGAGCCATCACCAATTTTATTTTAGACATTTTGTTAATCATTGTTTTGCCTTGTTAATTTAGGTAACTTACTGTTAAGTTTTGGGATAGCCTTTCTTCCTCTGATCATTTGTTTGTATGGAAAAGAAAAACAAAAGCATCTGGTGAGTTAAGTAGCAAGGTTGACTTAAGAGCAGAATATCTGAAAAGAGTGAAGGAGTAAGGTGAACTTTGAATCTTAAGATTGGTGAGGTTTTGATCTGAGTGCGTACACCCGTGAGGAACAACAAACCAAATAATTATTTTTCTTTGAGAGAGCGTTCCTATTTCCAAACATTTTCTATCTATCGTTATTGAACTTGTGCTAATACTGTTAGTATTGCAGAATCATTTGGGAACTTCAAAAAGATGAGGGCCATCTTACCACCAAGCATTAGCCAAATAGCCAACCACACATCACTTCCATAGTCGTCCTCGTCCCCACCTAAGCCACCTCAATAATTATACCCATTCCGCTCAAACCACATCCCAACATCATCCATTTCACCCACGGAGATAAGGAATGACAAAAGAGCAAAATTACCAAGAACACCGACAAGACGAATAGTCCAAGGACTCCAAAGGAACGCCAGAAGCCAAAGAGATTAACTGCAAACTTGATTCTAAATGACAAAATTAACTGCAAAAAGTGGGAAATTCAACAATAAAATACACAAGATAACTCTCCACTTTTGGGAGCTATCAAACACCCAAAAATTAAACATTACTCGTCCTCAAGCAATCCCTTTTAATTTTAGCCCTTTGAATTATTTAGTTGCTCCTTAGAATTTTTCAGCTATTCAAAACAAGAACTAGTAAAAAAAATTCACTAGTCACAATTTTCAGGCTCCCCCATGCTTTGTGAAGTTCACCTAATTAAGCTTGGTGTGTGTGTGCGTGCTTGAAATTTTTTAGGATTAATCCTGAAACAACATTTGGAAATTGAAGTAGTTAATAGATAAAATCTAAAATAAGTCTATAGTTGCCCTATTCAAAATTTACACCTTGCATTTGTCCTTTTTTTTATTTAG